TGTGCATTCTAATCCTATCTTCAGGTGTCAAATGCTACAGAAATAGTCTCAGAATATAACTAAATGGAAATAAAATATTATGTATGCCTTTCCCTTTTCCAGCATTAAATAATCAGTGCTTGGATACAAGGTGGATTTTTTTAGGACCCTGTACAGAACATATTCCTTAGTTTTGAAGAGTCCAAAGTAAGTGTGTGTGTGTGTGTGTGTATACACACACAAATACATACATACCTACCTACACAGACACTCTTGTGTATTCTGGTAAAAGCTAATAACAAGAGCTTCCTAGCGTATGGAGTTAAAATGGGCTCTTCTATTAAATTTGTGGTCAGTATAATATATGTTTTATCAACTTTGAAAGATTCTACCAGTCTGAGAGAAGTTTCTTGTATTTCATGTAATGACATTGTTGTAGCTGCAGGATCTGATGATACAAATATGGTCAGGTTAGCTAGGACCTCTTTGTCTAGCTGGAAAGCAAGCAAATAACGTGGCCTAAGAAAGGCTCACTGTGTTGGAAAGCTCTATCCCCTTCCCTGTCAGGTTTAATGAAGATACCACCCTGACCTCCAAATACCCTTTGTACCAAGTGTGAGCGTTACCTATAGAATCCAGACTTCCAAGAAACTAGAAAACTACAAATATTAGTGCTGCCAGAGGATTCAGATAATCAGTTTTGCCAAAAATCTGTTGGAAATCCAATTGCTGGGCTCTTTTCAATACAGCATTTGATGTAATTGTTGGAAGACACCTCAGTCGCGTGGAGGGTTGAGCCTGCAGTTCTCTTCGACTTCAGGGTCTAAGCTCCAGTTCACCAAAGATCTTACAAATATAAATCCTGTTGAACGTATTCTAAGCTTATGCTAAAGTAAAGCTAGCGTTTACATGCTTTTCTGAATTGGCATACAAGGTAGAGACTAAAATAAGATTAAATGAATTAGCCAGACTACGTCGTGCTGTGGGTGTTGTCCTGGCCATCTTGTTTGCAGTTATCCCCTGGCAACTATACTAGTTAATGGAAATAATTTTTAGAAGCTTTATAATGTAAATTGATTTAAGGGGATAAGTAAACTAGATTTAGATTTCAATCAAGTAAATACTGAAGTTTTCCACAAAAGACATACTGTTTTAATATTGGAGTGGGTTTTTTTTTCCCCTCTTCCTTATAGAGCAGTAATTCTCAGCACAGAATATGAATTCTTCCTTCAGGCTAGTCTTGCTACTTTCTCCCAGATCAGATGACTGAGGACACTACAGAGCAAGTATACCAAATATCCTATTGCATACCACATTTTGACTGCAAATGTATCATCTTCTAGGCTCGCGTGTAAATCTGAGTTGCAAATACCTGCCTCTTAAATATATCCGTCTATGAGTAAATTTAGTGCCTATGGCAGCAAAAGATGGATGATGCTGGAAGGAGTAGGGTAACGACGCTCTGCCATTTCAGGGGCATTTTGGACCATAGAAAACTATAACTAATGGTGAACCTAGTCAATTAAAAGGGTGACTTTTTGCTACTTGCCAAACTAGAAGGGTTTGTCTGGCACTCCTTCCTGAGAAAACCTCTCACCAGGAGAGGTGGACCGAGAGGATTCATAAACATCATCCATAAAAGGGCTTAAGCTCCACCTTGAATGAAAAGTGCTGAGCTTGTCTATCAGTAATCAGGTATTCACTAGGGACCCAAACTGAAATTTGTGATTCAGTAGAAGCAAAACTGGGTCAAATATGGATTCTTTCTTTCCCCTGTACTAACTCCCTGCCATTTTCTCACTGTTAAAGAAATGGTTAGAAATAGCTGTCCTTTTTGTGACTGCCATCCAGAATAATGGTAGTGGCACTAGTGCGCTCATTGCGGCACTAGGACATCATACCTTGATAAACCTTTTGTTTCAATACAGAATAATTATTTGGATTTGGTATTTTATTCCCTGTAGCCGAGTATCCATTTTCAGATGGTAACATATGTTTGTCCTATTCAATAGCAACTTGTTCTGCAACTGCTTGCGAGCTCGCTGGGCAAGCTACACGAATTCCATGCAGACTTAGTTTTTTGCGCTTAAAAGTTATGATGTGGAAGAACTGTTTGCAAAAACCTAAAGCTTTCAAAATGCTATGTGCAGTTTTAAAGGAGAAGCCAAGGGCCCTTGGAAAATCTAGACCTTGATTTGTATGCCACAGTAATTTTTAGTCAGATTATGAAAGACGCTCTGCTACAATGTAGTCTGGATCATTTCAGTATTACACAAACAAACTAAACATGCAGCCTGGAAAAGAATCAGATCATGACAACACAGCTCAGTCACAGCTTAAAATAATGTTCCTTGCTATTGTATACTTCCTCATGTTAACAGCTGCAAGTGATAATAGTCTCTCCAAACTAGTACTGCTCCTGAGATAATTGGTAGTAACACTTGTGTATAAATATGGAAATATTCTCGTTGGAGCTGAGATTCAGGAAATCTAAACTGTTTGGTTCAGTCCTGACCTCTTTAACTGACTTGTACAATAATCTGTGCACGCAACTCTACTTTCATTTCTAAGTCCAAAAACTCAGGTAACTGTGAGGCCAACTCGAGGCAACTTAATTAGCGTTTCTAAGGTGATTTGTATGAGCATGCCGATGTCTGCAGCTAGCGTTCGTACAGTGAAGATGCTCGTGGTACATATAGGTTTGTATGTGAGCAGGGAATGCCCACAGAAAAGAAAAAGGAGGATATTGTGCTTTGGCCTATATAAAGAGGGTAGTGGGAAATACGATAGACTGTATCAGTTACACAGTCAGGGTAAAACCCTTTGTTTTCTTGTTAGATAGCTGCCAGGTAGCTCATAAGGGATGAACCGCAAGAACTCTGTTTTCAGGGAAAGGGGGAAAGGGCTCTTATGTGCAGTAGGGTGACAGAAGTACCAACATACACATCTCATGGGACAGCACACGAGTCAGAGGCTGGGGTTGCCAAGGACTGTGTGGAGCTGTGGCTGCCTGGGCACAGGCAGGTTGGCTTGGGAAGGGGGAGGAGGAGGAGGAGGAGGAAGGCCCTCCGCATGCTCCTGCTGTCATTCGTGTGCCATTTTGTGCTTTGGTGAGCTGTATGAGTTGCTTGGGCAGGCTCGTTGGAGTGTCTGTAGAGCAGGAGTACTGCAGCGTGACGTACTGCCTCTAGGAACTAAAGTGTGGTTTACTATAATGTCTGACTTCCTTACTTTCAAACTTGTAGAAATAAGTTTTAAAATTAAGCTTGGCTTCAAATTCCTGCCTTTTTTTTTTTTTTTAACTAGACCAGTTCAACAGTTTTCCTGTCTTTTTTTTTTTTTTTAACTGTTATATATTTATAACCATTACTGCGCTGGTTTGCTGTATAAAATACAAATCCACCTTTTAAACCCCTATTTGGGAATCATTTTGTTTTACTTTCACTTGAAAGCAGTATTACGTTTATACCTATTTTGCCCAATACTAATGTGTCTTCACTGGGTCCTGGGCAAAAATTACCCTTTCGTAGGTGACAGCAGCGGCCAGGCAGCCTCAGAGGTGGCTTTTACTGCTCTGTCGTCCTGCGGCCTCTGGGTCCCCGCCCGCGGCTCCGAGGGGGACCGCGGATTTTCTGGGAGATGCTT